CTTGGGGGTAATGTTGAAACTTGAGATGACAACTTGGCAATTTCACTGTTATACGGGGTGCCCACTACGGCTGGATCGGGCCGATCGCCCGACTCAATCGCCTGAAACTGAAAACAAACACGTTTGTTTTTTAGGCGATCGAGTCGGGCGATTGGCCCGATTGGCCGATCCCAGCCGTAGTGAGCACCCCGTATTAGGATAAATCATGATCTACCATCATAACTCATGCAATAAATTAATTATTTATCTCAACTATGCTACAAACACGCCTCCTAGACCTCATCAATGATGAACTGTAGATCCTGAGAATAGACGATCAAAGATTGCACCCAAAGGAAGAAGTCAAATGCCAGTCTCAGTGTGGAGAAGGACAAATTACTATCACAAGGTATAGCCAAAGACCCCTAACAGTCCATTGTGGGACCAACATAAGCCACGATTAAACTTCTCATCTAGAGAAAGATCACTCATACGCCTTAACGTCAATGACAATATTGGTCTATCGTACTTCCCAATAAATCTAATCATACTTTTCTGCTGTCTTGTCGACAATAAAAGTACATTTTGTTTATACCGTACTTAGACCGCCAGACCCATGATGTGAGACCCGTCTTCCAGTATATCTGTTTTGGGTTTAATAGCCAAAACGTTAGAACACTACCGTAAAAGAAAGAAAAAAGAGTGAACTAAAACACAAGGTTGTCCCTCTGAAAGCTAAAAGCCCAAGATTGCGTGCAATAAATAACTTTATGTATTTCGAAAATTCCCCATGAGAAGGGGAAAAAACGTGCTTCCTCTCTTTCTCTTTCCTTGTATGGTTCCTTGCAGGATTGTTTTTGGCAAGTCCTGTGGATCTTGTGACATGCACATACCATTTTAGTTTTCGTCTTTTCACTGTGGTCAGTAGATCTTCATATTGCTCCATTGTGTTGGTGATTCTCTTTCGTACTTCAGCATTTGAAACGTGGTCTTTGTACGAGATGTCAAGGAGTCTGCGGTAACATCTCATCTCTGTGGTCTGAATCTTTTTCTCTAATTCTGCTGTTAGTGTCCATGATTCGCAGGCGTATAAAAATATTGAGATGACCAGAGAGCGCATTAGTCTAATTTTTTAACTGTGCGTGATGTTTCTGTCCCTCCAAATTGGCTTCAGTTTTGGCAGCGCAGCTGTTGTTTGCGCGATTCTGGAGAGAATTTCTGGTCTTGAGCCTTCATCTGAGACGATAGATCAGAGGTATTTGAAGCTGTTGACGGTCTCAAGTTTCTCGCCCCTGACTTTGATGTCCGTATTGATGCCATTGGTGTTATTGGTCAGTAGCTTGGTTTTCTCGGCACTGATCTCCATGCCGTAGGCTGCTGATGTTGTGTCCAGCCGCTCCACTAGTGTGGCGAGCTCCTGTTCTTCTCCTGCTAATCCATCGATGTCATCGGCAAAACGCAAGTTAGTGATTGTCCTGCCTCCAATACTGATTGTTCCATTGTAGTCTTCCAGAGTGTCAGTCATGATTCGTTCTAGGAAGATGTTGAAGAGAGTTGGAGAGAGCAAACAGCTTTGCCTCACCCCGACCGTTGTCCTGAACCAATCCCCCATGCTGCCATTAAGATAGACTGCGCTGCAGGCCTTGTCATATAGTTGTTGTATGACGTTGATCAGGTTGGCGTTGATGTTATATTTCCTCATGGTTGCCCATAAGGCTGCATGCCAGACCCTGTCGAAGGCCTTTTTAAAATCCACAAAGATATGGTATAGGTTTTACCTCTCGCACAGTATTCTAGGTTGAAGATCTGTTCTGTTGTGCTGCGTCTTGCTCTAAAGCCTGCCTGCTCTTCGGCAATGATCTTCTCTGCCTGTGGTTTCAATCTGTTCAGCATTATCTTCAACATAACCTTACTGGGGGTGGAATATTAGACTGATGGTGCGGTATTTCTGACATAGTTGCAGGTTACCTTTCTTGAGGAGTGTAATCACCAGTGATTGTGTCCACGGTGTTGGCCACTTTCCTGTCCACCAGATGTTGTTGCAGATGACAGTCAGAGCGCTAATCATGTCCTTTCCCCCTGCCTCTATCAATTCTCCTGGGATGTTGCCCACTCCAGCTGATTTCCCCTTCTTCAGTGATTTAACTGCTGCTTAACTTCTTCTCGAAGGATTGGGTGGTTATCGATGTTGGTTGCTGGGGGAACGTTTAGAATCTCGGGGTTTCCCGTGGCTTTGTAGCTGTACAATTCTGAGCAGTATTCTGTCCATCTTTTTAAAATGTCTTGTTCCTCTGTCAGGCATTTTCCTTGTTTGTCTTGAATGGTGGTGGTGCGCCCTTCTTTAGTGCATGTCAGGTCTTTTACTAATTGATATGCTTTTTTGCTGTTGTTTGTCCTCAGGCTGCTTTCGATTATTTGGCATTGTTCCTCGATCCAATTTTCTTTTGCCCTTTTCATCATCATCATCATCATCATCAATGCCTTTCACCCCTGGCAGGGTATAGGCCACATACAAGCTCCTTCCATTTATCACTGTCCTGAGCCATCCTTCCAAGCTCGTTCCAAGTGAGCTTCATTTCTCTCATGTCCCTTTCCACGCATCTCCTCCATGTTTCCCGTGGCCTACCCCTGCCTCGTGCTCCCTGGGGGTTCCACTGCAGTGACTGTCTTGTGATGTTTCCGCTGGGCTTTCTTAAGGTGTGTCCCATCCATCGCCACTTTCTTAGTCCTATTTCTACTTCTATATCCTTTTGTCCTGTCCTTTCCCACAGCTCTTCATTTCTTATTCTATCCTGCCACTTAATTCTTAAAATACTCCTCATACATCTGTTGATGAAAGTCTGGACCTTATTCAGTACTGTCTTCGTTGTCTTCCAAGTTTCGCAGCCGTAGAGGAGCACAGACTTGACGTTGGAGTTGAAAAGTCGAATCTTGGTGCGCAGTGAGATGTTGCTTGCTTTCCAGACTTTTGATAATTGCTTGAAGGCTGACCTTGCCTTGGCGGTTCTTGCTTTAACATCTGCCTCGGTTCCACCTTTACCAATTGATGACACTTCCAAGGTAGGTAAAGGAGTCCACTTCTTCAAGGGGAGTGTCTTCCACTGTCACAGCAAGGTTTGAAACTTTTCCTAGCTTCACTACTTTTGACTTGCCTGGATGTATACGTAGCCCTTTTCATACTTGTTTTAATTTTTTGGCTGACTGCTCTGTACTCCTTTGCACCATCTGGTTGCTTCTTTTTCTCCTTTAGTTCTCTCCTTTTGTCACACAGGTTAAGGATGTCAGTTATGACCCAGGGCTTATTGACTCGTCGGCTTCATTTAATGTTTCGTTCTACAAAAGGGCTACCGTACCACGAGAGTTGCGTTCGGTAGGATAAATTCCCTTTTTGGGCAATTAGCACTAAATATCGTGTGGTAAACAATTCGTGGCGCGACTTATATTGCCAAATATCTCTTCAACTATCAAAAATAGGTTCTCCAATTTTGGCACAATTGTATCAATTTGTCATAACAGACCTACTTTTTTGTAAACCCCTGCCAGATGTATTCTAGAAAATTCCTTAATAAATACTAATTTAAAAAATCCAAGAGCGTGATTTCTACAGATGTTTTAATGTTTACAGCTGGGGCAATATTGCTTTTCATGTTTTTTCTTATGGGGACATTATACTTATTGAACGCATGTTTTGAGAACCATTCGTGCAAAAAAAAAATGTGTTCACTATAAAAGTAATTTCTTGTAACAAGTTTTGCAAGTAAAAATTGTTATTGATGAGCTGTGACGTAGGCCATATGCATATGCAAAATGTGTGTCATGAGAAGCGGGAAGTGCTGTGAACAATACCATTTTTCGTGTGACAGAGATTTCTAATAGTTTATATAAGTTTATGAAGAAAAGTTTTTTTTAATCTAGCCGCGATTGTCTGGTAAAAATATGATTTGTTCAGACAAATTGGTACAAACTGCTGTGCAAAGTATGGATGACATTGACTCCCCCATTAAAAAGATATTTGAGGATGAGTTGCGCCACGAATTTTTGACTGCACTATATAGACTAAATAAACCTTAGCCCGCGGGCCAGATCCAACCCGCAAGTAATCAGTATTCTGACCCGGCACCATGGGCACAAATAACTTGAAAGATACATAATATCACCGCAGTACGTACGTTATCCGCGTGTGGAACAAAATTTAAAAAACTCCGGTCTTAAGGCATTAATTTAACGCCTAAGCACGATCTTTGAAATCAGCTTTTCCACTTTAATTAATTTGCATAAGTAATTCAAGACAAATTAAATATAAATTGTAACAATCAAGAGGCTTATGGCTTATAAGACCCGTTTTCGACAAATAAAAAGGTCGTTTGTTATTGTTTGGGGTTTTTTTTTTACTACCGGTATCTGAATGCTCCAATCGCGGAAAACGAAATGCACTGACATAGTAGCCTATGTGTAGCGTGCAAGGACTTGCGGTCACCAAAATGATTTTTATGAACTAGATCTATAGATCTATAATCTACAGTGCATATTAATTAAACGTGCATGTTCCAACTTTAATACATAATTTGAAGACATGTGATAAATTATGTGTGTTGTCAACATTTTGTGTATGTTTTGTGTGTATTGATAAATCAAATGGTGGCATGATTTTCTTTCAAATGTAATATTAAGTGTATTGCATGGAACAAAATATAATCTAGTTATTGAGCCCGCGTTCTGTATTTTCTCTGTTAACCGGACATTTTCCCAAAAAAAAGTTTGGCGACCACAAGGAGGAAACAAGGCCCTTGGGTGATCTCTGCTCTAGCCATAGATGTACACTATAGTAACGTTTAAAATGAGATAACTCTATGGCTCTAGGCCTAGCCTACCAAGGCCAATCGTTGACCTATAATTCCAAAGTGAAGAAAAACTAAGGGACGCAACTATAATTTATTTTATTCCAAAAGAAAATCATAGTTCCTTTTCCTGTCACCCCTTAGGCCTACCAAACTAAATCGAAAGTTGGTTGGGTGCCTGAGCATGTCAGAGAATCAGAAAGGACAAGCGGCGCCTGTTTCAATTTCAAGCTTCTTGAACTATTGAGCTTACATATTATATTATTGTAATCTTATTCTTTTGGTGGGAAAATAGGTAAGCCCATATTGACTGTCTGTGGCGTATAGTAATTGTTTACTTTCTCGCGTTTAATCCCGGGGGAGGACTTCCGTAACGAGCGAACGCTCTGAACTCTAGAATCTATGAATATCAGTACGGATGCCTGAAGTAAAGCCACACTGGTATGTCAGACCTACTTGATATCTAGGCTACCTACAAATGATGGACTAAACAAAGATAGTAGGCCAGACCAGGGCTACTTTTGGTGAATGTACACTGTAACACTGTCAAGTCTCGCCACACGGTATCAATACTGCTGCTCTCTGAGTCTCAACTGGCACTGTCACCATGAGTAAGCCTTTCGGCGATTTTGTAGTTTCGTTCGTTAAAGTCAAGAGTAGGAGGGGTTTCGGGGGGGCATGCTCCCCTGAATTTTTATCCTTATAATTTGATGTTTTGCAGTTTTAGGGTGCATCCCTGCTCTTTGTGTAGCCTATTTCAAATAGTATTTGGTCACCAAGACTTCTGGATTTCTTCTCTGGATGTAACAAATGGATCATGGACTTAAACGAACGGAACTACAAAATCACCAGCCTTTCTTCCTTCTTAATTAAGAATTTTTTTATGGGGGCCTTCCGTTGTGATCCTCCCATTTCCATAAAATTGAGTAACCTTACCCAATATATTACAGCCAGATGACTAGATCAAGATCTAGAGAATCTAGAGATATGATCTAGGTGATCTTATACTTTAGGGTGCTTTTTCGGTAGTTCCCACCCCCCTTATTTGAGCCTAGATCTACATGTCTAGATCTAGACGTTTGATGTGCGGCGAGCTAAGATATCAAACCTAATACTGCAAAACATTCAGGGGGGCATGTCCCCTGAAACCCCCCACCATATTTTTATGCCCCCCTGATCTTAGCTTGCAGGCTAGAGACTAGAGGTCTATCTATCTGTCTATCTATCTATCTAGATCTAGAGCTATTTATCCCGCCACACACCACACACTACACATACATACACGCGCGCGAGCGGACCTCTAGCCTATGATAGCTTAGATAAAATCAATTGAAGAATTTAATGTGCTAAAGTACAGTCGAACCTGCCTTAACGGAAACCTGTGTGTAAAACGGAAACCTGTCTTAACGGAATCTCCACACTTCCCCCTTGATATATTCCTCTTTAATTTCCTGTATAAAACGGAAACCTGTCCAACGCGGAAACGGACAGAAAAATCCGCTCCCTTCTGAGGGTTTCATCTGTCTAAGAGGGAAAATGCTTTGCCCGCTAAGCCCTGATTTGAAACAAAACTCGCCAGTTTGGTCCCGCTGGCTCTAAACTAAACTTAACGCCATAGCTGTGCCGCTGGACGAAGAAATGGAGTGTAGGGGTGGAATTTGGGGGTAGATGTGACCCCATCATGTGAACCCTGAGCAACACAGATGGTCAGTGTGGTGTGTGGGTGTGAAATCTCACGACTGCCCTTGAGATTCTTGAGTAGTGAGCCACAACGGAAACTTTCCTGGGTAGCTAGAAGCCAGAGGTGTGAAATAAGATTGATCAATGCCTGCCGTCCTGATCGTACGGTCAGATGAGAAAAGAGTTCCTCGAATCGTTGTTACAATGATGGCAGTGAGGGGTGGCATTGGTGGGTGGAAGCAAAGGAGATGTTCAAACGTTTCTGTTTTTAATTGGTAAAACAATGGTCCTATGAAAGGCAAGCACTGGTGGTAAGTGGATAAGTAAGACTGACACATGTCATTATCAGACAGGATAGCAATTGAGAGGTGTGAATTTTTTACCACTGCTTGCCGATCGGGCAAGCGATCCTTGATCCCACTGGCTGGGCCTTTGACCCCCCCCACACCCCGAGCTCCATCTCTCCCTAAATTCCCCTGTCTAAGACGGAATTTTTTTCTGGCTCCCTTGCGATTCCGTCTTACACAGGTTCAACTGTATAAGATCGCTGATGACTAGATCTAGAAAATCCTATTGTAACTTTAATAGAGTTAAAAGATACTTTGTCAAGTTCTTGAGGAGCTGAGTGACTACTAACTATGAAATAGAGTATTGAATGGAGGTGTAAGGGTTAGGGTTAAGGCTAGGATTTGGGTGTGGGTTTGTGTTAGGGTTAGGCTAGGTCTTTTCTTTACTGTGTTTGTTGTAGATCTAGTGGTCGCTCGTTACGGAAGTCCTTCCACTTCCATCTTGAGCGTTGGGTGAGATAACTATGAGATATATAGAGGAAATGTTCAGCACTTCTCTTGGTCTTGGAGTTTAAAGCGATCTTCTTTATTATCATTTTAATATAATAGAAATATGGACCTTTAATTTTTTTAAGAGCAATGACTGGAATACCAGTCATTTCGTCACACCGGTGCAGTCAAGACGTCACAGTCATCTCGTCACACTCCAAATCCTGGAGGCTCTCGTGGCCTAGAGGTTAAGGTGTTGGCCTCTCATTCAAAGGTCCCGGGTTCGAATCGATGTAGCGACCGAAAAATTGTCTTCTCTAAAATTGTCTCCTTTCGCCTCCTTTCCTGCTCTCTAGCAATGTTCTGTTGTCTGCTTTCGTTTCCACTTTCTGCCCCCACCCCATCACCTCCTTTGCCCCCTCCTCTGGGCTCCTGACTCTTTCTGCAGCCTTTCCACTGCTACTCCTTGGTTCCTCCTTACTGCTGTCTTTCTGCCACACCCCTGATCTTCTGGTAGGAAAAATCTACACCTAGCCTTCTCAGGCAAGGGCGATAAATCTCAGAGGGCCCGTGTGCAAGTTGCGCACGTTAAAGATCAATTGGTGGTCTAATATCGATAAGAGCAGGCTTTGGCCGCCACCCGGGCAAAATGCAAAATTTCCTACCCACTGAAAATATTAGGTGTGTCCCACGCGCTCATATGACCTTATGCAGTTGCGAGCTCCGTAAAACACTTACCAAAAAAAAAAAAACCACCCCAAATCCCTTACTGGTTATTCTCACCCCGTGTGAGTATAAAAATACGATCGACCTCTCTCCCCTGGTGAGACTTGCCAGCTTTGGCTATTCTCTCCCGGTGTAACAAGACCTGTTTTCCTAATTTCTGAATCCTGGCTATCGGTGTGGATGATCAAATTGACAAAAACATTGAAAAAATATAATGGTATATATATCTCAAAAGTAACCAATTTGGCAGTCTACAAAGATGCTACGGCTAATTCCCTTTTTGAATCTAGCTGAACGACGCCGTCGCCATTTTGTCTTGCCCGGAAGTGTTCTCACTAGATCTAGACTACTCCTTCTCCCTCTCTTTCTCTCTCTCTCTCTCTCTCTCTCTCTCTCTCTCTCTCTCTCTCTCTCTTTCAATGTCCGCAGACAAAATTGCAAGCTTTCAATGCAAGAGCGCTGGAACGTTTGTTTAAACTACAGAATTCAGTGCTAAAAACTGTAGAATTCTGTGGTTTACACTTGATATCACGGTGAATGCACACCTGGTGAGAATAGCCAAAAGGCTCGCCCTTTCACCCTGAGTGAGAGGCCTACAACTGCGCTATTCTCACCCCGGGGCTCTGAGAGTCGTCGTGCCTACCCGATGAGGTACACCGTTCATTAAATGTAGACCTATTGACAATATTGACATCTATCGAGTCAGATCAACAAAATGTTTAAGTTTTGATAAAAGATTTGTGATTGACAAGATCATCATCATCATCATCCAGTGCCAGATCTGCGACAGACATCGGCGATCATGGTTTTCCATTCATTCCTTTGCTCGGATGCTCTCAAAAAAGCTACGTTTCCCTGATCTTTCCCTGTTACCCATTTGTTTAGGTTCCCTAAGTATGTTGTTCTGGGCCTACCCCTGCCTCGCTTGCCCTCAATTTTGCCAGTGAGAGCTAGATGTTCAAGACCCTTTCGTCTATTCAGGTGTCCCAAAAACTGCATTTGTCGTTTCCTGATTGTTTTTAACATTGAGCGTCCCTCGTGGGCTTCATCCAGCACTACCTTATTTGATTTCTTTTCCTTCCACGATACTCTTAGCAGTCTCCCAAGAAACCACATTTCTGTTTGCTTCTATTTTGTTTTCGCTGTCTTTAGTGATTGTCCAGCATTCACAGCCATATAGAAGGGTTGACCAAACATAGCATTTCAGGACTTTCATTTTAGTATTCATTGAGATGTTTCTATTTTTCAGGATTGGGCTCATTTTATTGAAACTAGCCTTAGCCATTGCAGTGCTCCTTTTTGTTTTTGTGGAGCATTTGGCATCAGATGTTATCATATATATCCTAGATATTTTAACTGTTGGACTTGTTTGATCTTTTCACCTTTGCTAATGAGATTACAACTAGGATTTGCTGCTTTTTTGGATATTACCATGCATTCTGTTTTCTTTACATTCAACAATAATCCTTTACGTTCACTTTCTGTTTTACAACAGTATCTAGAAGCAATTGAAGGTCCTTTTCGGAGCCTGCTATTAAAACTGTGTCATCTGCATACCTGATGTTATTAATGATGGCAAGATCATAATATTAGTTTTGTTTAAAATAAAATGGCTTTTATAGAAATGTACTGTTAGAGTTATGATCTTTCTTTTCAAAATTCAGTCTTCTTTCACTGATTGGCACTACATTCTTGTATACTTTTCCACATGAATCACAGTACAGAATTGAGAATCTAGAACACAACTATTCTCTGGTGCGATAGCACCTGAAGCTGAGGATCTTCCTTATGTATCAACCACACTTACTTCTGGATTTCAGGTTTGCTATGGTGGGCATTCCTCTTGTATTTTTCAGTCTTAACTGTTGCAAAAATGGCATCTTTGTGTCCTTACTACTTATAGTGCCTTCTGTCCACCCTTCGTTTGTACCAATTTGTCGATTGAGGGTTGGGTACGAAAAAAAAGTAATCACTGGAAGTCCCGATCTGGGAAGAGGCCTTGAAAATAAATGTTTGTGTGTCTAGTAGAAGATCAATCTATGACAAAAGCATTCAAAATCAACCATATGCGGCTATATGCCTTAATGATATATATTTACTAGTGCATTGCTATCTCTATCTTTCCAATACTTTATATCCTCGTTTCCTGTCTCAGGGCCCTGTGTGCCTTGCAGTGCTGAAGGATGTACTTTTTATCTATTTTAGGTCCCCATCAAACTGAGCAACAGCAGGATTGTGTAGTACTTGACACTGACAGTGACATTGTGCGGCTGTGCAGTATGGCATCTGGAGGTGAAGGTGTAACTGTTTGGTATCAACGAGAGGTTTCATTGTCCCCAAGACGAAGGGGATGTCATTATATTTCAGATGAAATTCTAAAAGCTTGCTCTGGAGAAATGAGTAAAATAAAAGTCGGAGTGGCCAATATTCACAGTAAGTATCATAATTCATTTGTTCTGAAATAAATCTTTTATGTTTTCCTAGCCCTCATGGAAGATGTAAAATTGTTTCTTTGGAAGCCTTTACTGTGGTGCAGTTTGTGTCCAAGTTACATGAACTTTTATTTAAACAAATCGCTAGCAAGCTGTTCAAATATCCTAAGCCCAGAGAACAAAATGTTTCAAGAGAAAGATTGTACATGATAGTTATGCATTTACCTTTTCTGGCTCTTTTAACATTTTTAGTATTTTAATTTTAACAAAATATTTATCAAGCACATTCCACTCCAGATTTAGAAACTGCTATTTTTTTAATTTTCCAAATTTTAGGCAAGGTACATTTGAACAGCTGGTCGCCGATATGTACGAAAGGCTGAGATTGGGCTAAATTTTGGAGTGATACCTTTTTATATGGCCTTTCCTTCAGACAGCAAAAGAATTGGTCTTTAATGGTCTCTAGTTTTCCATAGGGGCTTTTTGTTGCTCTCCCAACTTCCATGTTTGCGAAGGTGTCCTACGTGAATCTGTATTGCTTGAGCAGTAAAAATACCATGGGAACAATTGATCTTTTCGGTACATCAAGACTAGTTTCAGGGAGTAAATAGATAACATGGTTAACGAAGGCATATCTTGCTTCATCTGAAGAGAACACAAGATATTACAATAGAGACATTTCTACACAATATACTATTATATTGGAACTTTCTGGTGTGCGCTGACTTAAATTACTATCTTCAGAGGAAATAATATGTAGACCATTACCACTTAAACTCTATCATCTTCTGAGACAGAAGGGTGCCTGTGATATTTATTGTTTAGGGTTTGGTGAGTACTTTTATGCTCATAGAACAATAAATCAATGTTCTTATATAGTGTATTAAAATATTGTCCTTTTTTTTCCCCAGTCAAGCATACATCGGCCAGTATAATTCTTAATGAGGTATGGTTTAGATGCAAGATATTTCAACTGATTGCTAAAGTCTATTCATATTTCAATGTGTACTGATCTGAAATCTGTGTTCCTCTAATATATATATATATATATATATATATATATATATATATATATATATATATATATATATATAATATAGATGTTTAGCGGATATTTTAACTTCCTAAAAAAATGAGATTTTTGCTGCAAAGTGTAGTGACCAGTCATATTAAGGATTTCAGAAGTTTGCATTGATGAAAACGAATGTGGAACCATTAGTCATATTTTAGATATAGATAGAATATATATATATAGATATACGTATAAGGTCGAACCTGTGTAAGACAGAATCACAAGGGAGCCAGAAAAAAATTATGTCTTAGACAGGGGAATTTAGGGGTTTCAAAGGCCCAGCCGGTGGAATCAAGGGTCACTTTTCCGGTCAGCAAACAGTGGTCAAAACTTCACACCTCTCTACTGCTATGCCTCTCTGATAATGACATGCGTCAGTCTTACGTATCCAATTACCATTAGTGCTTGCATTTCATAGGATCACTGTTTAACCTATTAAAAACAAAACAGTTTGAACATCTCCTTTGCTTCCACCCTTTGTCCCAACCATCGGTGTAACAAACAGTCAATCAATACCACCCCTCACTTTCGTGTAACAATGATTAGAGGAAGTCTTTTCTCGGCTGGCTATAAGATCAGGGCACCAGGCATAGGTCAAACTAATTTCACAACTCTGGCTACCCAAGAAAGTTTCCGTTATGGCTCGCTACTCGAGCACTTTCACTGGCACTCATGAGATTTCACACCCACACCACCCTGACCGTCTGCATTACTCAGGGCTTACATAGATGGGGTAACATCTACCCCAAAATTGCACCCCTATAGCCCTTCCTCGCCCGGTAGCATAGAATGTTAAGTTTAGAGCTGGGGAAACCAAATCAGGGCTGAGCGGGCAAAGCATTTTCCATCTTAGACAAGTAAAACCCTTGGAAGGGAGCGGATTTTTCTTTCCATTTCCGTGTTGGACAGGTTTCCGTTTTATACAGGTAATTAAAGAGGATATGTCAAGGAGGGAGCAGGAAGATAAGACAGGTTTTCGTGTTACACAGGTTTCCGTTAAGGCAGGTTCGACTGTATAAAATATTTAGTTGTGAGCTGATTGTTAAAACACACGGTAGGTCTGTTTCTGAAATATGCCTTTCGTCTTTTTCTTATCCTTGTATCATATTTCATCTGAACCTGCAATGAAAGACGAATGTGATTGTCTGTAACAGTTTTATGTATAGGCCTAGATTATTATAGATGCTTTGCAAGATTATTTGTTTGTTTTTAGTGGGAACGGAGCTATTTTATGATTGATGTGGTATTGATTCAGATGAGAAGATTTTTTTTTGGTCTTATCTTTTCAGAATTTTGATCCTACGGTTTTGTAAGTATTGAAATCTTTTTAATCTCACTTTTTTTCTTATGTTTTTAAAACTGATTGAATATTTGTAATACAATTAATTACTTTTCTTGGCTTGGTGTTGTTGTGTAATCTATCCTCTCCTTAGCCATATTTGACCTCAACATACTTGTATCAACTCTATTTATGACCATCCCTATCAAAATCAGTCATATGAAGGAAATTTCAAAATTGGGTCAACATAATTTTCTAAAATTATCACCATTTCACTATAATTTGGAAAAAAATGAAGTCAATAAGACAAAATTTGACGAAAATATGGAGTTTTTAAGTCTGCGATGTGCGGACACAGGAAAAGGAGAAAATGGGCTCCAAAGTTGAGCAACATGTTTCCATAGCAACGGGGTCTTAGAATTGAGGTAAAGACTTGAAATTTGGCAGTTATCTTGGCTAGGCTGCTACAAAGTAACACACAAAAGTAGGAAACTATTCATTGACAGAAAAAAACTTCTTGACAAAAAATTTTAACGAGAATGGACTTCACATACAGCTTGTTACCATTGTACTTCTAGGTACTGGAAACTAAATAATGTATATATATATATAATAATATATATATATTTTTCAAATGTATATATATATATATTATTAAAATGTATATACAACACCTATTTCAAGTTTGATTGCTGAAGAAAATAATTAATAGGTCAGCTTCGGCATAAATTGCTTGATACTACTATCCTCTTTACATTTACACTGACATAAATCGACTGCACAAGTCTCTATGGTGCTTTATTATTAGTTTCACAGTTGCATACTGTGAGAAAATCAGTTTTGTAGAGAATCTCCTTATTTCTGCTGAGATGCTATATCCCTCTCAGGCTGGGTTGATACTGCCTGCCAGGGAGAATTGCAAAAGAAAAAGTTTTTCACTCATTTTCCCCCATTAGTATGTGTTGACAGCCTATCTCTCTTCCGGTTCTTGTGAGGTTGTGTGTAGACTTCACAATAATTTATTTACAATTGCTGTTTTCTATCATAATACATGTCTTGATTTTGATGGGAAGGGATTGCTCAGAGCGAGAATATGACTGGGATGCATTTTTTCTGTCTATTTGCCATTTCAAGTCTTATACTTTGTTTTTCATTAATGTTTACTGAATTTTTAAAATTGCGTTAGCATGCTTTGCTTTTCTTCTTTTAAAAAAATGTAATGAGCTGTATCTTTTATATTTCAGGACTGACATGGAAATGGTGTTAAATAAACTTGCTCCAGAGGTGTGTATATACATATAACCTCCTGTTACCTTTTGTGAATTTTCTGTTGTTTCCGTACTTGATGAAATGAAGACAAAATAGGTTTATTTGTTTATTATAAGTGTAAGGGATTCTTTGTTTTTATGTGTGTGTTACTCACACAGCTTGTTTGGTATTTACTTTTGCTTACTTTTTTATGGTAAAAATTAATGATGTAAGGAAGTGGGGCAGGTATTTTTGTCTTCAAAAAGTTTTCTTCACTTAATCATTTCCAGTGCTTGTTGTGTCTGTAGTAGGAAGATCATAAATATATACCATCACAGGATATATGTAAGACCAGGTTCTGAAGACAAGTACTACTAAGTATGTTCAGTTTTAAATCATAAAGTACTGCTCAAAGCCAGAGGCCATCATAACTGAAACTGAACAGTACAGTGACCTGGACAGTTGTTTTTAGAACTTTTGAGAATTTTATTTGTCTATGAACTCCAAATTTGTGAATTGAATATTTTTGTTTCCTCAGAACCTGAATTACAAACACACAATGGAAGGGCCAGATGATATGGTAAAGCATTTGTATTTCAGGTATTCAGGGCTGCCTATTTGTACTGATATTTCAGATAGTTACCAATTTTGGACCTGTCCTGCCACTATACCAAAGAAGGTGCATATACTAGTGAATTATAATGGCGGCCAAGATTTTAGAAAGAACTGGTCCGGTGTCTTTTGTGTATCTGCACCGGATGGGTCTTTTCGTTGATCTCTTCTGCCAGGGTGGCCCATAACTTTGATGAAAGGTTCACGGTTGAATACTAATCGGCAGAGCTGGGGGTTTTCACAAGGTAACTGGCAGAATCCTGGGAATGCCCGAAGAATTTGAATAGGATTTGTTGAGACATTTGAAACGGCTCTGGATTTTAAGGAAGTGACTGGTGGTTGTCAAGATCACCAAAAATCATTCACACAGGACTTTTAATGTATTCTGAGCATGAAAGCGTCTTTTGACACATACCAATGGCGAAGGACAAGACTTTAAAGGTTGGGGGGGGGGGAGGGGGATAAGGAGGAAAAACAAAACTTTAAGGTGCACTTCAACTGTTTGATGTAATATCGTAGGATAAGATCTGAGAACTAAATTCTGTGATTGAAAGCACTGTGCAGTGTAGTGCACATGTGTTGGATGACTTTTCTGTATACATCATAATAGCGTATCATCACTGTATGAAAACATGGGTGATTAAAACTGGATCTGTGGTTTAGCTTTTTTAAAATCATTAACTGATACAGTAATTGCTAGATTTCCGTTTCTTGCTCTACCTAGAGGACCATCTGTGAAGTTTTTCCTGCAATAAATTTTGTCTTGCATGCTTTTTACAATCCATGAATGCTGAAACAGTTTTGATAGTGGATGTTCTGGCCTTTCCACGTTAAATTCGGAAGTTCTGCCTCTCAAATAGCCTCAAAATAGTATTGATAGGGGCATTAAACCTATACACCTACACCTACAATAGTAATAGTATTTTGCGAAGGAGCCTTTTGGTTTCATGTAGAGCACGAACCCTTTAACGCATGGGCAGTGTTAGGTTTGGACATAATTTAAACAATACCAATAACAGCTCTTAATTGATGAGTTATATTTATGATTGGCTTGTTGTTCTCATCTTTAAAATTTGTTGGCGTCCAAGCAATGAGAAAGGAAGTATGCATTCATTTTCAGAAATTGTATTACTAATTTGCACTAATGTAAAAAAAAACTGTTTTTTTTCTAAAGTGAAAGCATAAAGTAATGAGAACCACATTAATCTCAGCACATGCAATGCCTTGATGATATCTTTCATGTTTTTCACAAACGGCTAGTTTCGATTTGCATTTTGGGGCTCTGCCCACTTTGGTTTTGGTTTGTTGGGGAACACATTTTCTTTTTGCATTTGTTTTGCTTAATACTAGGGTTTTCATTAGTTTTTAGGAATGATTGTTGAAGTTTTGTTTTGCAGAAGCACTATGATTTAAAGACTCTAACAGACATGATATTATGTTGTTCTCTAGCCTGCACATGTGAAAGCTGCACTGATGGGCAGCAGCCTCAGTGTCCCTATTACTAATGGGAAGTTCAACCTTGGAACCTGGCAGGGAGTTTGGCTCTGTGAGCACAGAGATCACGGAGGTATGTAAAGCTGTCATCTGCTTTTTTTAATGATTCCGTATTGTTTTGTTAAAAGATAGAATGCTAAGTGTTGTTCTTATCTCACAAAACTATCAATATTTAATTTATTGACTGTCTCAGGTTCAAAGTGATCTTGCCTGTGATTACAAAGAGGATTTGTTTGTGTCCTGTCAAAATATGTTTGGCTCCCAATAAGATGTTATCAAATGTGTGGCTTGCATTTTGAAAATGTGATGAGACTAGTGACACTGCTTATTATCATCTGTCAAAAGCATCATGAAGGACTAGAACTAGGAAACATTTTTGATAAATGACCAGACATTTTTCGTAATATTTTGGGTTTTATTAGTACAAGTCATATTGTTGAAATTTTTTTCTGAATATATCAATTTTTTGTTGGGCTTCTGGTTCTGTTGAGGCTGATGAAGGATTCAATATCATTCATTGTGTGTGAATTTTACTGTTTATATACCATAGCTGCCACTTTCCCGCTAAATAGCGGAAACTCCGCTTCATTTAGCTTTTCCCGCTACTTTCCTCCTTCCTCCGCTGGACCGCTCTCGGCCGCAAATTGCGATACTTTTTTACACAGCGGAAAACACCGAACCGGGAGAGAGACGAAAACGCAGCTTGCGCATGTCCGCCTGTTGCTTTCTACTTCCGTTCTTCTAGGGCCTAGCGCTAGTTTCACTTTGTTTATTGTGGAACAACACAGCGTCGATCGGGCATCAGGACGTTAGCACGCCGAGTTTCATTGAAAACGGCGGAAATTCAAGAGAAATTGATGCAGAATGCGAAAATAAAGGAGCTGGAATGAGAAAGAAGTAGCGGGTGTGCAACTTGAAAAGTTCATTAGAAAATTGAACAAGCCGCTTGCTGCACTTTGCGTTTGGTGCGCTAAAGAAATCGCGGCCCGCGGCACTCTTGTACAATTGCGGTCCTGTTTGTTTACATGACGGCTATTGTGGCTGTTGAAGTGAATCTAGATCTAGATTATAATCTATCTCTAGATGTAATCTAGATTTACCCATATTTAGACATCTAGATTCTAGATGTAGATTAGACAGCCTAGGCTATAATTTTAATTCAGGTTAGATCTACACACAACAGAGGGACTACTAAGTTAAATGCAAACGGGACCGCAATTGTACAGGGGTGCTCAGTACAGCGGCAAAGGTGTTGCCTCCTTGATCCAATACTGCGAGCGCTCTACATCGATGTGCACGTTTAAAGTGGAAGAAATCTTTTTATAAGACACCAGCTTGCAACAAACACTGGATTTTTAGTCGCCAAGTCCAAACTGTGTCAAATTGACTCAAACTCAAATGCTTGTTAGTCTACTTAGTGCCTTTGTTGTTGTTGTTGTTGTTTTTTTGGGGGGGTTTTCAAAGACATTTTAATTCGGTTGCCTATGGTTAACAAATATGACAATTTTCCCTTCCAAAAACCATAGGCTAGATTTTCCAGTGTATTGCCTCTGGATTTCACTGGTTTTACTCCGGCCTTTGGAGAGTGTGTGTCCACCTTCGCATGAAGTTCCTCCTTTTTTGAAATTCCTGAGTGGCAGCTATGATATACATATGCTAAGCATGCGCATATTTGTAGGCTTATAGCATAATGCATAAATCCCTGCACAGCTCCTTATTTTTATCAACAGGAGCAAGAAAGCTTGTGGTAACAATGAACGGATTAAAGAAGTAAGCCTGCGTCTCTTGGTTGCTGGGTGAAGATTTTTCCTGTGATACCCCTTGCCAAGCTGCCAGAGGATCTTTTGGTGGTTTTTACTTCTCCTATTGAAGCTTATACTTCATACATGTTTTGATCTTATGTAAACTTAAGGATTTGTCCTGTTCCTAACTCAGGTTATATCAGTAAACATATAGGAATATACAGTCTAGCATGCTCATTGTTAACACGTACACAGCGAAAAACACACATAGCAAACAATTCTTCAGATCTTGAATTTTTTAAAAGATATTCTTTGTGTTCATAACACATTCATTGCTTAACTATTTATAATAATTCATCTAACCAAAAAAAAAATGCATCTGCAAAGTTGGATCAAATTAAACGTAACAGCAAGTTTCATTTCTATTGAAATGTCCAGGATGAGAGGAAAAAAAAGAGGAGGGGCGCTCGCGGTGTAAGTATAGACCAATGACCTATCTATAATCTAAGCTAGGACAAAGTTGGCCAAAAAGAAAGTCGGAACATGGACTCGACATTTTCGTCAAACTCTAAAAGTTGACTGTGACTTTGACCTTGACTTTAGAGAGAAGCTACAACTTCCTATGCTGCCATAGCCAAGACAGGGTCATAGGTTTTGGGCTGACTAGTTCTATTTTTAGCTCTTCGACTCTCGTCTTCGGATAACAAATGTGGGGTTTTGGAATCGAGTTGCATTGGAATTTTACTTGTTAGAGTAACTTGACCACTTCAAGCCACGAGCGAACATTCCCCCCTAGCTAGCACTGCTTCTGCACTAAGAGATTCCCAACTTGATTTTCGAGGAGAAAAAAGCCGCAGGAAGGGCCCTGACCTGGCCGGGAATTTAAAGACTTCAAGTATAGAGTACAGTGGATGTTTTCTGTACACTTCGGAGTACCACTTGGCGGCCGGCAGCCCTGGGTGCGGCCGACGACAAGCCAAAGATGCGGCCACCTGACTTAGGTGCGGCCGAATCCATGCCCGTTATGCGGCCAGACCTTAAACAAGCTTCAAACACTTGAAAACATGACAAACAATGAAGGAAATCAATAACAAACATATAAGGTGCAATTCGAAAGATGGTAAATTCAACTTAAATGAGATTCATTGGACTCTTGATCAGAGCATGCAAACGAAATGAAACATTCAACTCAAATGAGATTCAACCTAGATCTGCTTTTGATCAAAGCATTGAAACAAAATAGAAATCAATAACAACGTATGCAAATGGTGCAATTCTAAAGATATTAGATCTAGATCTCCGTCTACTCTTGATCAAAGCAGAACGGACAAGTCACAGGTCTCTGGTCTCGATCTCTGTGTCCATAAAGAACATTTGCCACAAGGTACGATCTCGACTGCTGCGCTGACCACGTGAATCCCCACTCGCAAGCACAGTGTCTGGCTTTCCTTCCGCTTCAGCCAATGCTGACCTCTCGTTTCCAGTTCCGTCCATATTGCAGTCGGAGTCCTCCATCTCTTCTTCACCCGTCTCAGGCATAGAATATTCTCTTTCTACTCCTACCACTGGTCTTTCGTTTCCATCTCCGTCACTCTCACACATGTCTTCTCTTTCTGTTTCGTCTGTTCAACTTCAACCGCTTGCCCTTTGTTTCCTGTGTCTCCATTGTCAGCAACAACACTGTTTCTACAATTTGTCTCCGTCTGTGGTCCAACTCTAGAGCCTTCATCAAGTCCATGTGATTCACTGCCCATGTGTCGTCTTTGTGGAGTCTCTTATCCTTCCACAAGCCCCACTGCAGCAAACATGGATTCGTCACTAGAACTTTCTCCTTCCATAAAATTTTCCATCTGCAGGTCATCATCATCAAAGAGTACCATTTCACTTTCACTTAAATCAGCACTTGTATCAGAGTCGGAATGGCTCAACTTCTTTTTGGATTTTCTTTCTTTGCCTTTGGGCTTCTTTTCTTTTGCTTCTAGCTTTTGCTTCTTTTTTTTCTCCTTCTCCTTCTCTTTGGCCAGTTTCCTTTCTTCTTGCATCTTCTTTCTATTTTCTTTCTCCACTTGCATCTGCTTCTTTCTCTCCTCTCGCTGTTTTTCTCTTTCCACTCTCATCTTCCTTTTCTCTTCTTCCATTCTGGCTCTCTCCACTCTTCTCATTTCCATCTCCGCTTTCCTTTTGATCTTTCTCTCCTCCTCTTCCTTCTGCATTCTCTCCTTGTTGATTAACGAGTCAATGAATTTTTGCCCACTGATGAGCGATGGAAGCTTTTCGAGCGATTTCTTTCTCTTGCTGCCACCACTCACGTGTTGCAAAGTAGGAAGATCGAGGGGATCTTTCGGTCTCAAGCTGACTTGGCCGCCTTCGGGTTCCTGTGGCTGTGGTGGTAGGACCACATCATGATAATGTCTCCATAGTGTGTAGATCGGGTCTTCCACATCAAAACCCTCTTCCAGCCTTGTGAAATAAAGATGCACATTAGCTTCACCAATCTTCCCACACAGTACTGCAAATTTCCTGAGGCTCGATGCTGGATCAAGGGATGAGGAAGACTGAGTAGATTTACTTGTACCTGCAACTGGAAGTGAAGGTGCAGCAGTTGCGGTGCACATTGAAAGTGGTGTTGACGTGGAAGGTTGGTTTTGGACGTGCTGAAGACACTGTTCTACGCAGTCGGCAGCAGACGGGTGTGGCATCTCAGGGGGTTCTTGTTCAGAGTGAGGAACGGTTTGGTTGGACCTGGGACATTCATCATCATTCGCACTGGGAGTGACGACATCAGTGTCAAGACATGTGAGCGTTGATGTGCTTGGAGATGCCATGTCTTGTGGACCTGATTGTTGTACTGGGAGTGGGAGGACCTTCTCCCAGTCAATATTGGATGGGTCTAATGGAAAAAGGCCACTGTGTTTGAATGCTTTTGATGCAAGACCCCTACTCACAGTGTTGTTGTAGGCCTCTTTGAATACCAGGGCAAATGTGCGCTTGGTGACTATTTCTATCTCATTGTGCTTCTTGACAGCCTTGCGCCATTCCCTTTTCATAGTCTTAAAGACTCCTACATCTAAAGGCTGCATGATGTGCGATGTATGTGGAGGGAGTGCGTAGAGCACGATCTGATGTTCCTGGCAGAGGATAGCCGCTTGCAGGGATTGATGGCTTACGTGCCCGTCAACCAAAAGGACAAGGGGCTTTTTCAAGTGGTCAGTCTGGGGGATGAACACAGAACGCAGCCACTCACAAAAGATTTCCCCATTTGTCCAACCATTCTTTGATATGGTCACGAATGACTCCAGGAAGACCTCCTGCGGTCTAAAACCCCTGAATTGCGTCCCTGGGTATATGATCATTGGCCAGGTATAGTGACCATTGGCATTGCAGCATGCAAGCACTGTTATCATAGTCTTCTGTTCGCTGCCAAGCTGGTATACGAACTTGGCGGCGGTGTACGCAAGTACCTTATTTGTTGTGGCGTCAAGGCTGAAGCCTGACTCATCACAATTGTATAAGCGTTCAGGTTCAAGCAGTATGGTTGGGTCGATCTTCTTCACACAAAAGTTATCAAACCACTTGAGAATGGAGCCCTTTGTAAGTAGAGCTCGTTGTTTGCCAAGCTTCTGTGGTTTACGGATTGCCAACACGGGATTGCGTTTTTTGAATAAACGAAACTGTTTCTCAGAAGGAAGATTGTCTTTCCATTTTGTCTGACGACCTCGAAAGTTAAGCATGTCTTGTACGATCACAAACAGTTCAGACTTTGTCCTGCCGAATGCCCGCCCACTTGATTCTTTCAAAAATGTAACAATCTCTTCTTCTTCTTTGGGAGTCAGATATGTTTGTGGGGTATTTCCTTCTAACTTTCGACGACCTGATAGTTTGTCGGAGAACGTTCCCCATGGGATGCCAAACGTGTCAGCGGCTCTGCGTTTTTTCCCCAGTCCATGCACTAGTCCCACGATGCTGACACCAGTCGAGACAGCTATTGCCAATTTTTAAAGTCTTTAGTATGACTAGGGAGAGAATCGAACCCAGGACCTTCTGTTCCAGAGACAGGCGCGTTACCACTAGGCCGGCGCCATTGTTTTGTTATCAGTAGATCTAGATCTACTTTTATTAAGTAAACAAAAAGCTTTGCAAACAGCCTACCTAGATCTAGAACATGGTTTCGATTCTATCTCAAGACCTTAGCCTTCATTTGACCAGGGCTATCTATCGTTTTTGACACTGGCCGCGGCCAAGACCTTTGCTGTAAAGCCTGTCCTTGGTGCGGCCGATTCGACCGCATGTGGGCCCACATGAAAATTTACCCCGCCCTGGCTGCGGCCATCGACGTTTCTTCAATAGGTTACGTTTGAGTGATATTTGACCAATGTCAGGCTTGAAAACATGCATTTTAAAACACAGGTACCACACTAGGTAGAAAAAATAATAATATTTAGGTTGTGATAAGAGTTAATGAAAAACTCACCTGAAATTTCGCAAAGGGATGTTTTCTTGGTTGAAAAGTTCAAACTCGCACCACGTGCGTCAGAACAGCGGGAAAGACCGGAAACGAAAGTGAAAGCATTGGAAGACCCAAGGGAAGCTACTGTGGTTTATTCAACGCCTTACAGCAACTGGAATGCGAGTTATGAGAACTGGCCGCACCCCAGCAGTGGCCGCGAGGGGGTCAAGCTACTCTACTTCCATTTGGTTAAAAAAATTGCTAAGCACAGTCCTTGATCTATTTAGTTGCTTTTGTGTTGTTGTTGGGTTTTTGTTTTTTGTTGTTGTTGGGGGGGGGGGGGGGGGTCAGATTTATTCGAAACATCTGTACCTATCGACATTCGCTGGAACCGTAACATGTTCTGGTCCCCATTCATTCACCTCCTTAATACATTGTTTCAAAGAAGACTTTCACACTTACATGCATTCACTTCTTAAAGAATAGTTGTGAAGTAAACTGTGTTGTTTATTTAAGGCTGACAAAGCAGGAAACTTAATTAAGCTAAAGGTTCTTATTCAGAAACAGGATCATGTTGATGTTTTTGTCAGAGATGTTGTTTCGCCTCTGGCTAACAAGCTTGCCTGCCTTTGAGAAGAGACGTTCGCTTGGAGTGCTGGTTGCTAGACAGGCCAAAAGCTTTTTGGCCATCCTCTTCAGTTCTTGCATAGTGGCACCGTTGTTTTTCCACTATAACAAAGGATCTTCCTTTCTGTCCACTGGACTTTCTTTTTCATATTTGGAGAGTTCCAGTTGGGGACGAATTGATGGCGTTTCTGTTGTCTTCTGAAGTTGGGCAATTTTCCTGTCCACATATGCCCAAATGCTGGCCGTTTTTTAGGCACTTCCACTTCCAGTGGTTACAACATTTCCTGAGTGCTGAGATTGTTCTCCTGGGAT